GTAACCAAGTGTGTTATCCTTTAGCAGAGAACTTAAAGCAGTTAAAACAGGAGGGAAAATTGGCATCAAGCTTTTAACTTTGCTTGAGTTGAAAACATTCATAGTCCCAGGAGCAATTTTTAACAGTCAAGAAAACTTCCACAGCGATCAGGATTACTACAGCTGCCTGATCATGCTGCTCCTGCCTAGTAAGAGAGAAAAGGAGCTGCTGAAAATCAAGGACAGGCAACAAACAGCAGGTCTAGTAAGGCTGCATACAGCATGAAAACGTGCAGCTGCCCAACCAGCACACAGAACACACGGGGTATCTCAGGCCATGCGTAATGGCCTTTGCTCCTGACAAAATGCTCCTGGCCTGGCCACTAAAGGGCTGAAGAGCTAAATGGGAGCCACGGCACCATGGTCTTCCTCTCCCACTGGGGCTATGGATTGCTTTGGACAAGCCCTCCACCTCTAAAGCCTGAATCCACATCCATTGCCCTGCTATCCTGCATGTTAGTCAGGAGGCACACAAACTGCAGGGGAGACAAAGGCTACACTTCAGATAATACCAAAAAGTCGCTTAAGATGGCCATGCTTGAACAAGGACATGTCAAACAAGGACAATCTTAATTCAGAGGTCTCTGAATGACAACATAAATCGTGCTGGTTTTAGAAACGGATAGTAATTTTATACCTACACAGGAAAAAAATATATATATACACACATATATATATATATAAATTAACACATCTAAAAAAACCTCACTCACAACTACATTCATATTCTCAACAGTATTCCCTTTTTATGAAGATATAAGATCTTATATTGCTGAGATGATCTGCAGTTTGAGGCTGCCTTTGCTATTGAATACTGAAAGAGCTGAGGCAGACGGAAAAAAATACCTTACATCTACAGCCAGTTAGAAATCTCAGACTGACTCCGAAACAAACATTAGCATGTTCTAAACAGGTCTTCTAAAAGATTATCTTCCATAATAATAAAGTCATAATCAATGTCCTTCGGCAGAACAGTCACAAGCCTCGAAGAGCCACCCAGGGCCTCACAAACACAGGACCTGGCACCGAGCTCCCCGCAGCTCCGTTCAGGACGCCCCAGCTACGCACTCGGAGCCCGCCACGGGCTGGCTCCCTCTCGAAGGCCACATCCACTAGTGCTAGCAGGAGCAGAATTCCACCCCACAGATACTCTGAAAGGTTGTCAACTTCTGAAGGCTACCTTTTTTTAAAAAGAAACCCAGATTTAGCTAACCTGTTCCTTTTCAATTCCAACAGCCACCTATCTGTTATTTGCAGTTGGCTGCAGTCAAAACTGACAACCAAAAGCTGTGCAGGCGTGACCACGGGCCCTAGGCACATTCAGGATATCCAAAGCTACAAAGCTCATGTGTTCAGAAGAACGTGCAAGATTTCTAACCTTGTTTCAGTGCTTGAAGTACCTGAGAATTACGCATTAAGCCAGGAGAGATTCATGAATATTCATGGATCTAAACTAAAATATGTCAAAAAAATAGTTTCTCTCTACAAAACAAGCTGAAAAGAAAAACCCCAAGTGGCAGAAGCTGGAGAGTAATGGCAATTCCAGCTACAGACTGAGGAGTGGGAAGTCTGCACAATTCAAGTGTGGAATAAACCATCTCACCGAAGGAATGGGATGCTTATGGGAGACACATTCTCCTTCTTTTCCAAAGCATCAGGTTGTGATCAGCGATGCAAATTCTAGCTGCAGGAGAGTCACTAATGGTCACCCTCAAAGGCTCAGGGAGTAGGGAATATTCTCAATGTTTGTAAGGATTTGATGGGAAGACATAGAAAGGATGGAGCTAGATTCTTCCCAGAGATGAGATGAGAGGCAAGGGGCACAAACTGGAACACAAGAAATTCCACCTGAATATAAAAAAAATGTACCTCTCTACTGTGGAAGTTGTGGAACACTGGAACAGTAGTTTTTTTTTTTTTTTTTTTTTTTTTTTTTTTGGAGAGGTTGTGGAGTCTCCATCCTCGGAGATGGTAAAAACCCAGCTGGTTTGGGTCACAGTCCTTGGCAACCTGCCCTTGCTGATCCCCAGAGCTCCTTCCGATCCCGAATCCCAATTACTCGGCAACTAGACACTGCAGCGTATTTGACAGAACATGCTACATTCATAAAGGAGAAAACACATTTAATAAGCTAACAGTGTTGCCACAAGCCTCAATTCTGGCATACTATCATATCTTGGATATGGGTATTACCTAAGTGGGGATAGGGTGGAAAAACAGGAGAAAAAAAATTCTGAAGGATGAGAAAGGATTATTCTCTCTCTCTGCCGCTGTATCATAGCAGGTGAGGTCAAGTTTGACAAGATTCCCCTGTTCCCAACTCCAGCAGTGATAAATGGTTTTAGGAAACCTTCTGTAACTCTTTCATTATGCTTTTAGATAGTACTAATATAAAGCAATAGATATTACAACATAAAAATGCATTTTATATAATTATTTTGGACCCTGCAAGATATCACAGTCTATTCACGCACAGCCTGTTAACCTCGGCTAAAAAGGCTTACACAACTATCCGAGGTTGATTATTTGCACAGGCTGCAATTCTGCAGAAGAAACAAGGTAGATAAATTCTTTCCCTGGTCTATTCAGACTGCAGATTTGTCCATAGATATCCTTTTTTTTGGCACTGAAGTTAATAAATTAATGCAGTGAGAAAAGGAAAATACAGTGTAGAGCCCAAGATGAGATAAGCTACAACCTTCTCCAGATGTCCACACTAGCTCAACACCTTACGATGAAACCCTGATTCCAAAGCATCTTTCAGAACTCTATCTGCTGTCTCCTAATACATGTTCTCCTCTTATTCCCCACCTCCATCACTGCAGACCTGGGGTTTGGGTCCTTGACTTGTGCAGCAGTGTAGCTCCACTACTGCGTGCCCCAGAGCTCCTTCACATCACTTGAAAAAGTACTCAGGGACACCCCCATCCATGGGGGTTTTGTTGATCTGGAAGTAAGACTAATTTGTCAGCAATGTTGACTCACTGTTTTCTTTCTTTTCAGTTCATTCACAGACTGTTCCTCAATGCTCAGCATGGCTCGCATGTTCATGGGTACTAGATCCAAAGCGTGGTTAATTCCACAGCTGCCTTTCCCTTGCAGCAACTCCAGGCTGAAAATGCATTAGGATGGTGCAGAAGGAAGAGCTGCCAGTACCAGAGGCACTGGACAAGGGAACTGGTCAGTAAAGGTCTTAAACAGGGTCTCTACCTGCTCTTGTCTCCATTCTCTCATGTCCCTCATCAGCTCTAGAGCACCCAGCTCCTCTCCTACTTTCCTAGCTTCTTTATCACAGTGGTCTCTCACAGAATCTCAGAATGGTAAAGGCTGGAAGGGACCCCTGGAGATCATCTAGTCCAACCCCCCTACTGCAGCAGGGATCCCCAGAGCACGGGACACAGGGCGGCATCCAGGCGGGTTTGGAAGACCTCCAGAGAAGGAGGATCCACAGCCTCCCTGGGCAGCCTGTTCCAGGGCTCTGTCATCCTTGCAGGAAAGAAATTTTTGCTCACATGGAGAAGGAACTGCCTGGATTTCAACTTACACCCATTGCCCCTTGTCCTGTCACTGGCCACAACTGAGAAGAGTTTGGTCCCCTCTTCCTCACATTCTCCCCTCGGGTACTTATATGTATGGATCAGATTCCTTCTCAACCTTCTCTTCTCCAGGCTAGACAGGCCCAGCTCACTCAGTGTTTCCTCATACGAGACATGGTCCACTCCCTTAATCATGTTTGTTGCTCTCCGCTGGGCCCTCTCTAGAAGCTCCACAGGTAGGAGGCCTCTGCCTGTTACAAGCTCACACTGACTGATTTGCTAGGGGACATTAAACACACTTTATGTCTCTCAAAGCTGGACCTTCCTCCTCACTGTATAACTCCTTTTCATGCCTCTTTTAAAGCCACTGCCAATCTGACAACTTGCTAGGCCACGTGGCTGTGTGTGTTAATGGGCATGTCTTATTTCTCAAACTGCCTTTCCCATTACATTTCACCTCCATTTTCCAAAAATTTTCTAAAAATAACTCAATCTTCCTTTATAGCCTCTAAAAACTAAACTGATAAAAGGCAATACTCTTTCAGCTACTTTAATTTTCTAATCGGTTTATAATGTGCAAATTGGTACCTCCTCACTGTCTGAACACACATTTGGAAGGCCTCCCTGAAGGCCCAAAGACCCCCAAAGAGTCTTCTTTCTCCATAAGAGATGGAGCCCTTAAGCTCATGGTGAGGCTCTTGCCACAGGACCCTGCTCGCCTGGGGGTCACCCTCCCTCCACATAGCAGTGCCACTGGGGGACACTGACCCCACACGTGCATCCCTGCCCTACTGCCACAGGAATCTGGCCCAAGGGTCCCATTTCAGAAAGAGCCCTGCAAGATTACAAGGCCAAGGAGGCAGCTCTGCGACTGCCATCTTCCTCAAACGCAGCTTTTCACCAATGCACCTCAAAGCTCATGTTCTTGCCACGACTGCAAGCCGTTTCCTACGGCGAAGCACAAAATAAACCCTCAGCTCAAGTTTGCTTCAAAACGACAGTACTAATACTGCTATTGTTCGTAGTTTTATTGGAATGAGGCCAGGTATTGAGAGGTAACTGTGCCCAGGAATACGCATGAATATTCTTTGTAAACATCCACAACAGGGAAGTACTTAACGTTTGTGAAGCTAACGCAAGAGAATGTGAATTGTCTGAAAGAGGGGCAAATCAGCCTCCCATGTGTCGATATTAATTGATGGACTCTGCTGGCTTTCAGGTCTGAAATTAATAAAGTGATCGGGGAGTGAAAGTATCCAGTACAAATTAAAGCCCTGCCAGTGGTAAAATTCAGGTCTCCTGATACACATGATTTTGCCAATCTGATTAGACCATGTACTGTACCAATGTCATACTACTGAAATGAGGCTTAGAAAATACGTTTACCAAGCAGGAACAGCTGAAAATCAGGTAGAAAAGTGTCACCTGGATGAGATAGTGAGAACATAAAGTGAGGAGCTCCAGCAGCTGCAAGTGACTCCCAGCTGCTAGCACGTCCTGTATCACCCCTGGCTCCAGGAGGATCTGCAAAGAAGAAAACGGGAGCTTGTCACAGAGAACTCGGAGCATTCGCAGAAACACTACAGGCCTTTGGTTTTTCAGAGATCTGAGTCAACATAAAGAACAGAAAGAGTAAAATCAAGCACATACGGAGATTTTTGCAGGATGGGAGCAGAACTTTAAAACTGCACGTGGGTTGTCCAAAGGATTAAGCAGACTGTTCTTTCAGTGCCCATGTACTGCATCACCCCAACATTCTTTAAAACTAAATGCACGATATTTATTTAAAAAAGAAGACTTTTCAACATAACAGAACATCCTTTTGCTATGGTCTGTATTATCCATACCTGGATGTTTCCATAGATATTGATGAAATGAGACAAGAGAGTTGACTCTGAAGGCTCCAAATTTCTCATGCTTGTTAAAAAAAAAAAAAAAAAAAAAATTGCTACTGCCAGGTGCCATTTCCTGATCCTCATAACCAGTATGCTGGTTTTGCAGAGCGAGGCTGGGAAGGCACAGGGTGAGGGTGCTGCCAGGGGGCTGCCACAAAGCGCCTGCAAACCAGCCCTGGCTATCCTGACACTCGCTCACGGGAACCTCCCACTCATGTCAATTCAAACCACACAGAGGCAGCAGCCGGGGTAACTGGTCTCAGTTCCCAGCTTGCTCTCTGGGGTCACTTTGCTAGAGCCTCCCTCTCAGGGCATTAGAAAATCTTTGGGACCACAGACCAAAAGTCTATCAATCATCAGTAGTCCATTTTATCATCAACCACATTACAAACTACCAAACCGAGTATTATTTCATGACAAATGGTGCAGCATTCACTACAATCTGAAAGAGCTGATAAATAATAATTCTGCAATGATCCTAAGGGTGTGCAGAGTTTTATCCTCATTGCCAAGTGCTTCCCCTAGCAGCTTTGGTTTCACACCACATGAGGTCAGTCTCTCACTGCTCCACAGGGAGGTAAAGCTGCTTTCAGTCTCCATGCTCTTTCCCTCTCTTTTCTTTTTGTTTTAGTTTTCCACACATACTTTAGTTACATCTCAACCACAATGGAATAAGGGATAAGGAAGTAGAATAAAAAAAAAAAAAAAAACAAGACAAGATAATCTGCACCTTATAAAGTCCAATTACTTTTAAGGAGATGAAAAAAATAGGTGCACATCCCTCTACAAGAAAATCAAATTGCCTCCAACACATGTGATCTTTTAGGAATGAAAATAAAAAGAAAAAAAAGGAATGAACTCTTGTTTCCATCAAAAGCTTATTTACACTGAGGTCTGGAAGCATGTGTCATACCTAAACCTTCTGCAAATTACTGCAGATCCATGTGAAGTCTGAAGTGGACACACATGTGTTTTATATGCAGCACACCAACTGCTTTAGTCAGCCAGAAAGCCATTGAAGGAGCTCAATGGAAATGAGAATCAGGCCCAGCTCGATCTAAGTTTTCAGCTGCTGCTACATGGGAAGAGAAATACCCCACTCAAGGGAAACCTGGCCTGGGTTTCAATCATAAAAGCACCTTCCACACACACTTAAGAACATGGATGGCACTGTCAAGACTTCCCAAGGCAGAACTCAAGGTCAGGGGGACAAAACACACAGCTAAAACTCTTCAGGGCCCCGCTGCTTTAGACCTGCAATGTTTATCATTCAGACAGTTTATACTGAGTAAGTTCTGTCATCTGGGCTGATGTCAAGTTCTGTCATCTGGGCTGATGTCACCATATTTATTAAATGCCATCCACAGGCTTCACATAAGTAAAGACACAGTAGATGGAGAACTAGAACCCTAAGCAGGTTAGTGTTGTGGGCATAGACACAAGCTGTATTTAACAGGGAAATATTAACACATTTTAAAGTTAGAACAAGGCATTTACAAATAATATACCATGAGCAGCATATGGGATAAGCAGGACAGAGGCCAGGAGGGTCGTTAACTACATAGAGGGGATCGGCACAAAATCAGCAACAAAAGCTAAGGTGGCACATACCTGAAGGAGCACAAAGTTACTTTCCAACAGTTAGCCCAAACTTTCAGTTCTAACTAAAATAGGTAGAACTTTGCAAAATCAGTTATAGTATCAAGTAGTTTTTTTTTCTTCCCATTTCTTACAAGTTTCCAGCCCACACAAGATGAGATTCTGCTGAGAAAATACTTCACCTTTGTGATTCCCAAGAGTACACGGAAAAGTCTTTTGTTTCTTTTCCCCAAGGCTTCACCTTAAATTGAACTGTCTGCATTTTTACTCAGTTCTCATTTGGATACAGGAAAAATGCTTTTGCTAAAAATTCACATCAGCAAAATGCATTAGAGAAACCCGCACAGAAAGGAAGCACAACGAGCAACGAAGAAAATATTTCATGTTCTCCTACTGAACTTGGGGCAACTGGCAATAAATGCAAAACCTCTGAACATCTCTATATTAATGCAATTACCAGATTTAATTTTTTTTAAATCACCAGCACACCTGTTTATGTGCTATACAGGCTGCCTAGCTGAACCTTAAGAGTAAATACACATAAATAGCACTCCAAGCAAGGCCAATACACACAGCGGCTGCCTCTCCTCTGTTTATCTGTTTACCATCAAAATAACAGCTCTGAGGTCTAGAGTGACACCGACAAGAGAATTAAGAGAAATGAAGATCTGTATTAGATTCACACCTCCAAAATTAGTCATGGAGCAAAAGCTGAAGGGAGAAACTTAAGCCCTTTCCCTATTCCACCCCCAAACCAAAGATTATCATTATGATAATGAAACACATAAGGGCAGAAGCTCAGGTGGCATCATTTAGAGCCATCAACTTCAGTCAACTTTGCAGTCTTCACCAGTGCAGGATTTGCCATTGTGTAACGTATTATCATCTTAAGACTGTGCTCTGTGCTATTTTTATATTAAGATTAACTACATGCAATTTAGATATTGTATCTGGCAGCGCATTACAAGCAGCCCTCTATTCAACCCTTACTTCTGCAGGTTAATTTTCATTAAGGTCTCAACTCTTCTCCAGGCTGTTACCCAAAGAAACCAGCTTAACCATCACCTCCCTGCAGGCCTTCCCAGACCCCTAGGTCTGAGGCACTGCACTTTTGAGACTCACCTCACTGGCCAAATTGCTTTCTCCTACACAACTAATTCTTGATCAAATAGAAACCCTGGTTTGCAAGGCAGCCATTTACCCTCCATCCACAACCTTAACCATTCTGCGATTCTGTGATCCAACAATTCCCCAAGACAGCACCCTATCCCAGCACACCCCAGGACATTCCAGCCTAGAATGATTCTTTGAACTGGGACCAGCATATCAGCCTTGGATACCTCCTTTCTCATGAACAGCTTTAGGAAGAATTCTCCCCTGCACTGCTTAAATTGCAGTATTTCTCCTACTCCTTTTTAATGCATTTTTTTCCCTAAAACAAAACCAAATAAAACTAGGATAAGTCCCACAAAATTTGCATGGAAATAGCAAAGGCAGCACCAATGAGCAAAATGGAACAAGGAGGAAACTTTGCAACTCTCCCTGTTAACAAGGCAAATAAAAACCCAACACACTGCATTATTTAATAACTGCATTATCACAGAATCCCAGAATGGCTGAGGTTGGAAGAGAACCCGAGACATCATCCAGTCCAAGCCCCTGCTCCAGCAGGGACACCCAGAGCACGGGGCACAGGGCGGCATCCAGGCGGGTTGGGAAGATCCCCAGAGAATCAATTCTAATTCAAACTCCACAGCCTCCCTGGCAGCCGGTGCCAGTTTTATGACAATCCTTTTTTACTATTGAAAAATCAACTTGCCTTAAGAGTAACACATTTTCAGCAGTAATTACAATAAGGCACTGCCCCTATACAGGGGAGGAGATTAGTGTCTGTATTTTCACATCCACAGCCACCTTTCAGCTCAAAAAGGATGTGCAGATGTCAGAATTGTGCTTCTGATTGCAATGTCATGCCAAAAGTTGTAACTTTATTAAATTCTAATAACTTTTAAAATACAAGCATCAAGTATTGCTATCATGCAATATGAAATACTTCCACCGGATGTCTCCAACATACTGTTTTACCCAAAAAAATACATTTTGGTTACAATGCATTCAAATTACATATAAGTGCTTAACTTCTTTTCTAAATCAAGGGAAGAAAGCAGAATTTGAACATTCATTTGTTTACATACGGTGTTACACTTAAAATGAATACCCTAAGACTGTCCCTGCATTGTTATTAGTTCTACAGTGTTTTCTAAAGAAACACTTTTTTTTTGGACCAACATACTGGTCCAAAAAGTTAGAAGTGGATCCTATGAAATCTCCTTTTTTTTTTTTTTTATGATTTATTTTCCTAAAGGGTGGATCAGATCATGTCTTAAGACCTTAATTTTCAAAGCAAAACAAAGTCGTAAATAGCAGGACCGAATTTCAGATAACCAAGACCAACCAACTCTTCTTAGAAACACACCCCACCTCCAGGTGACTCCATTTTCACAACTCTGATGTAAGCAGGAACTACTCAAATTACTTATCAATATCCTTGATAGATTACTCTCACTTGAAATATTCATCAATATTCTTCTCAGCTTGAGTTTATTAATATAAGCCATGTTAGCTCAAGATGTACACAGAGTGAGAGCAGAATTTCAAGGACACGAGAGAAAATTCAGTGTTCCTGTAAATTCAGTGTAAATTCAAATTTTCTCTCAGTCAAGAGAAAATTCAGTGTTCAGTGTCAGACTGTACCAGTGACTTGTGCTTGCAAATACACTTTGATAAGAGAGCTCCTAGAAAATCCTTGGCTCTTATCTGTGTTTCAGATATAGCACGTGCCCTGCAAATGCTTATATACGTTAGCAACTGTGCATGTTGGATACAAGTAGTTCTAACTCAAAAAGCCATCTCATTTATTCAAACTAGGTCATACTTGAAAATGCAAGACTCAAAAGTGTGTGTGGGATCAAGGCTAGAAATCACCTACTATTCAGCAGGGGTTGCTGGCACGGGGTGGATTGCTGGTTTTTAAAAAAAGCATATTCATATTTTCAAGGTTCTTAATGTATTTTACATTTATTTATTATATTTTTAAATTTACTCAAAGACAGGGGTGCATCTCTATTCCAAAGAGAAAGAAAAACTCACCTGCAAGTAAATTATTATCCAGCATCTCAAAATTAACTTTGGAAAGCCTGCACTATGTTTTAGATACTTCTATTTCACAGAATGAGCTCTCTCTGAAAATGATCTATAATCTCAACTGACTTGAAGCACAACACAGATACTCAAAGCACAAGAAACATTCATTGAATTTTACTATTCAATTTAGCCACCTTTCAACCACAGGAAGAATAAAAAGCATAGAGATAATGAGCCATTCACTGAGACCTCCAGCCAATCAGGAATACAGTATAATAATCTCTGTCTCTCACTTACCTCAGAGATAAACCCCTGAATAAGTTACATTTTCCTTAACAGCAGAAACATGAAAGGTTCAAAAATGAATCTTTAATATGAACATGAAAATATTGACTGTTGTGTGAGCAGATGATGAAAATAATTCTTTTAAAACAGGTAGAAAAAAAATCTTTCCTTATTTCTATATACTTCTCTTCATTTTTAAGGCCAAATCCTCAGTCTACAGTATGGAACAGATGTCTAAATTTGTACAACCTAACAACTCTGAAATAATGAAATATAAACTGAAGCTTCAAATTTGAATTTTGTTTCAAAACTAAGCAATAGTGAAAACACACCAATGAATTCAGCTGTTGTTTTAACAGTATTTCTAGAATCAGTTTGGTTACCTAGATATTCAGAGTCGAAAAAAGAAATTGCACCTGTCTATGCCTGGGTGCAAACAGATCTTGGGTCACTTGCCTGAACTCTAAACTGAGACCAGGCCAGGCAGCAACATTACACAGTGCCTGGGCATGCAGTGCAGAGACAGGACAGGTCACACATCCCATTGTGTAGGCAGGGGAATCACTCTGCATTTCCTAGGGTTCACTTGGGACTTCTATTCCAGCAGTATATCATGGTAAATAAGATGTTATCATTAAAAAATGCTGCAGGAAAGAGGTATCTATAAGCATTTGCGATGACACCTGGAATTCATCTGCCCGGGGAGGATAAGGCTGCTTACACAGAAATAGAGATCCATAAGGATTATTCTAAAAATTATCTAGGATATTTTATGTTTTATTTAGCAGATGGAATCAACTCACATTAAATTCATATGAAAAGAGAGACCACCATAAAAGGGGCATAGGAGTTGCACATGCTTCACTACTTGGGAACGACACACAAGCAGTAGCTGTTTTCTATTAGAGAAATCTTCTTAAAATAAAAACAAAACAAACAGAAAAAACACCACAGTCTTTCTTTGGATATACTGCTTAACTTGACATTCTACTGGGCAGTGTACTGACATAACATTTCTAACACTTTTATAACACTCCTTCAGCTTTTATTTGCAATTTGCTTTCATTTGCATTTGTTAATTTGAAAAATTGTACAGTACCTGGCCAGTATATGCAAAGTCCAGGGCTTGTTTTAAACCCAGGCTTGTGACACCATGTAAATTCACCTCATCAGCTCCACTTTCAACCATGCAGAGACTGAACATTGCCTAAGGAAAGAAAAGAACTGTTATTAAGCATTCAAAACAACACTTATTGAGGGTTCAAGAACAGGAATAATTTTTCCACCTTTACTAACATTTGTTTTTCCCCAGATCATAATCCTGAACAGCAACAGAAACAGACTTACCAGCCAGAATACCTATACCAAATTTTCAGTGTTACCCAAAGTAAACAGTCTTGTGCCAGAGTACTTTTATTGATAAATGAGTATAAAAAATTCTTCTGGAAAAACTGAAATAAATCCTTTGAGTGTGCATGCATATATATATATATGTGTATATATATGTATATATATGTGTATATATATGTGTATATATAGGTATACTTCTCAACTAAGTAAATTAGGTATTTAGGTGAAATCAATGCAACCAGTCACAATAAAAATTCAAAAATTAAAAAGTAATTGGATTCTGGAAAAAAATAATTCTAAGCACCCAATATTGGAAACAATACTTTCATAAAATATCTAAAAGAAGGAAAAACAGTAAACTATGCACAGTAACTTGTACAAGCAGCAGCAGGTGTGTTAGGAACAGTTAATACACCATCCCTTATGAAGAATCCTATCCAAATAGCACCTCCCCCTGGAGGGTGAGCTGTGATCCTCAAGTAATTGGAAGAGGAGTCAGAATGGAGCAGCAGTCCCTTAGAATTACAATGCCCCTCTCCTTGTTACTTCCCCACTTCCACACGGGTACAGTCTCTCCATAAAACCTAGGCTGTGGATGGGTCGCGCTGTGTGGAACCTCTTTAGGACTACAAGTGAGTAGAGAGGCTGTCCCTTTCACCCACGGGTCTGAGGCAGCCACAGAGGCCGCCCAAGCTGAGCAGGGCTCTTCTTGTCACTGCTAAGATTCAAGCCCTGGCTTTGCCCCAGCTCCTCTCCCAGCCTCCACGCGCTGCTCCCTCTCCACGCTCCTACCAGCCCTGTTCTCCAGGCCAACCCTTTCCCAGGACCAAATGTGCCCAGGGACTTCTAGGAAAAGAACAACTCTCCCAGTTTCTTGCAGGCAGCAGCACCCAGTACAACAGAGCAGAATCCTTTCTCTTTACCACCCTCCCACACGTATTTTTGGCAAAACATCTCACACAGTCTTTAGACAGTAAACTGTGAACAAATAAATTAAACGGTTCTACCATCTGTCATAGCTGGAGAGAGACTCAGTGTATCCCTGGTGGGGTTTGTGTAAAATGCACTTCTCCTACGCAGGGAAGCTGCACCGGGGAGGACAGCAAGAGCAGAGCGCTGCTCGAGAGCATCCTCGCGGCGCCACATCCCGCTGCGCTGCCTCGGCCCTCAACAAGCCCACGGGGCTTCTTGCAGGCAACTCACGCGCCAAATCCTGCTGAATTTCAGGGAAAAACCAGCCCTAGCACCTCAGGCCCAGCACCAAGGATTCCCTTAAACTCGACCAGCTTCCTTCAAGCACCGTAGCTCCCGCCAGCTAGTTGTGTCTTTGAAAATGTCAGTAACCTTCATTCCACCAAGATGCGATGGTTTGACACAAACCTGCTGCCTGGAAATCATCCCAGATAAGCAAACGTGACATTTATCACGTGGCCACTCCTACATTTTTGCAATTTCTACTCCAATTAACAGTTATCAGGGCTTCTTCCAACTGGTAAGAAAAAAAGAAGTGTCAAATAGTTTAAAAGATTTATTACACTACTGTAGTAAGGTACAACCATACAAAATGTTCCTAGCCAGGAAGAGAAAACAAGAGGAAAAGAAACACGGAACAAATTGAGCAGTTTTTCTAGTTCCATTTAAGTTCCCTGACTACATGATGAGGGTTGAACACGCCCTTTGCACTTAGCTATATAATCACCCCTAACCACCGTGAGGATCACCCTAAAGATGAGCAGTTTCATTCAGTGCTGACCTCCACACGCTGCTGGTCAGGCTTAATGATAAAATAAAGAAAATATTGTTCACTCGTACCTGAGGGTTTCGGTGGCAGCTAACAGCAGAATACAGAGGTGCAAGTCTGTTCTGAATTTAGCTACTGTCTGGTTGCCAAGTTGAGCTAGTAAGACTTGGCCCCGCTTTTTAACAACAGCTCTAGGCAAAAGCAAACAAACAAAGCCCCCAAACACAATCCTTGTCTGAAATCAGGCTGGAGGCTCCCTTTCCGGGTGCTTACCTTCTCTACTTAAAATCCAGATCCACCTACAACTGGGAAGGGTCCAGACACAGGGACTAGGGATTTAAGACGCACTTCAAGCCCCCCTTGGCTTCTGCTTTTAGCTCCGAGGTGACAGCTCGAGGAGAGGGCTGGCGTTTGTCCTCGTGAGCCTCCTCCAAGGAACCTTCCACTTCAGCTCTGGGGCATAGACAGGAGGCAAGGGCTGCCCTGCCTAGGACAACCCTACCATGCTCCCTCCCCTTCGGTTTCATCCTGCAGTTTCCTCTCTCTCACCAAACTCAGGCTTCTGCTCTTCAACCACACAGGTTACACCTATAGCTCTGGAGGGCAAAGGCGGTGGTGCTGGGAGCCCATCACCAGCACTAACGGTGCTTTGGGAGGGTGCCTGGCCCCACCACGTGCCACCTGACGCCTGGAATGCGCCTTCCAGTTTCGTTTCACGCTGAAGGAAGCCAGTCTGTGCACTACAAGGCCATGAGTAACAGCAACGAGAAGAACTTTACAAGGTCGCTCCGGTCCAAACTACCGCGCTAACCTGGCTACCTGCACAGCTGCAGCTTCTGCGCGGGCACAGCCCCCATTCCCGCTGTATTCAAGGGCTTGACTTTAGGATATGAAACACACTCACTGGGCAGGCCCTTCTGCGCTCAGGAACTGAAAGCCAATTTCATGTGAACTAACAGAAATATCTTTAAAAAAAATCATTTTTCACTTGGTCTAGACTCACATGCACCCCTAAGCTTCCACTGGCGCTTGTATCACATACTGTTATAAAAGGAAAATCAGATACAAACTTTTTTTTATGAAGGTTATGAACTGCGCTGTGTCACCAGCTAAGTACAGATCTTTTGTTGATGCTGCCTGCTAGTTTTCCTAGGTGTTTTCTGGATGCTTTTACTGCCATTACTTGCAGCCCACTGCATGCAGCAAAAGTGTTTCTAAGGCCTACGCTGACCACAGTTTCAGGGGAGAAAGACTGAAGTGGCCAGTGGGAATGGTTGTCGCTCTGCTTCCCAAATAAGCCACGTTTCAGCAGTGACGTGGAGCGCCTGCAGAACCGCGGCAGCATCGGCTGTGCCCGCGCTCAGCCCTGGCAGCGACTAGCACAGCACAAATCCAGCTCCCACCAAGAAGATGGAAAACTCTCCATGTCAGGGACCTGCACGTACTGAAGTGATTATACGTGACAGGACACGGCGATGAAAAGGGTAATGCAAGACGCAAGGCAAAACTCATCCCAGATCGCTAACAGAAGAATATTTAATTTGCCAGTTTTACATATTGAGCCTTTCAAAAAGGATGACTTTGTCAAGCACAAATCCATTCCTGGCAGAGATCTGTTATGCTTTGCAAATGGATGCATGATTGCTCACATGTTATGCCTGTTATTTTTCATTAAATTATGAATTTTCCACATAAAAAGAATTTGCTAAGCACTACACCAGTGAACAATTATATTTTCATATATTCATGCGACATACATGCCATTTTGAAACATCATTGTCCGTATGTCTGCAAGAACATTAAGCTACAGTTACAGAATACACTGTGGCTCAGTGAAAGAAGGAAAAATGTTATTCTAATTTCTTTCACACAAATGCATTTGCACTATTATTAACAATACGGTACCAAGTGTTCTGTGTGTCAACTGTTCCTATTTATACCAAGCAGTAATTTGACCTATTAGCACCTATTATGTTGCAGAAGTTCATTCTATTTCAAACGTGCCCCAGCCCAGAACAGAAGACTGGCTGCAATGGTGAGTTTATTTAGAAGCTGTGATCATCCTTCTTGCTGCAAAAAATCTTGCAGTAGTCAGTGTTTTCCATGCACTGGTTTTCATGGATATATACAAGACTCCCTGGACATGAATAAATATGTTTTTATTCTTTTCTATTTCTGCAAAGGTTTGAAGAAGCCTCTCTTAAGTATTCTAAACTTACACAGAAGCCCTTCTTTTAGCTATGGTTGCACTGATGCATCGAAGACAGTTACCTGTGTCGCTGTATTTACGTATACTTCCTTTTTTATGAAGACAAACTGACCTCAGAAATCCATAGTCACATAACTCACCAGAGAGCGAGCTCCTGCCCGCGCTGCGCGCCGAGCACCACGGCTGCCGCATGGCCTGCGCGCGCACGGCAGCCCTCGGGCCCTGCGAATGGAGCTCGCGCTCTGGCTGAGGACTCGGCGCCCCACACAGCGGGCCAAACCCACAGACCTAAAGAAATACCCACCTGCATCTCACCTGCACACCAGGAACCACTTCCGTGCAGCTGCTGCAGGTTTTGCTTTGAAGATTCCCGAAATCTACCATACCCCTTTCCAGGACTATTGTACTGGCCGCAGAAGCTCCTCCATCTCCACACGCCATCTGCCACCTGCAGCTCATTCTCCCTTGTGCTGCCCTTTCTCAAATGGAGTACTCAGGGCAAGGGTTTTGATTTTGCATAAAACCTACACTTGTCTTTCAGGAGGAAAGGGCAAAGCATTTCACTGGTCTTTCCAGTGGTCCTAAGAGAGCCCCTTCGGTTGAATGGGATTAGCTCTCAGGAAAGCAGTCTCCTACAGAGGAAAACCTAGCACAGCCACAGCCCAGCTACCCTCAGCGCTCCTGCCAGTGGGTGAAGCTCATCCGCAGCCAGACACCTTCAGGGGTTTGGCTGCCAGGGAAAAGACCCACTCGATCACAGGCAAAAGTGAAACTCATCTCTTAATCAATATTGCTCTACTTTAATATTGCAGTGTAAACACACAGATCATAAAATTCTGTTTTGAGACTTCTGCAGTACCTGGGCAATGAGTTAAAGCTGGGCTAGTATCTTCTGCTTTAAAATACA